AGAATTTGCATTCAACAAATGCTTTAGGGGTGTGCGTAACAAACCCCAAATGAATGGGAAAATATATTGAAAAGATTCTTTTTTGTTTTCAAGACTTTATCTTCGAGTAGTTTAGCTACGTTTGTGGCGAAAAATAGAATGATTGGCAGGAATGCTCTTATTTTAGAAGGCTCATCTTATGAATTTAGATTCAAAACAACTTTGCAAGAAAAACTCAGACACAGATTTGACAGATGCACAAACTCCAAGGAACTGGCATCATCTAAGATATTTTAGAAGGCTCATCTTGCGAATCTTGGCATTAAGAAGGACCTAATTACAAAATTCCAGGGTGAAATCTTGTCAACAAGATAAATGATTCTTTTCTAATAAAAAAACCAAAAATACTAGACTTATCCATAAAAAAAAGATGAAATAGACAGGCATTGTGTATTGGTAGCTTCATGGAAAGAAAACTATCAATTCACCTGATAGATCCAATCCTAAGGATCCACTACATGGATTCAAGGAAGAGAAAGTTTGACTGCATTTAGCGAGTCAGCATTAGCATAAAAGAAAAAAAAACTTTCCACCTAGGGTACTTCGCTAAAAATTAAAGAGTTCGTTGTTGTTGGCAATGAGGTATTATGGGCAAGTAGCTCAATCTCGCCTTCTAAGATAAGCATTCTCAAAAAGTGTTATCTTCACCCGATTGATAATTTGAGAGTTGCTCCTTGAGATCCTAGATTTAACAGCGATAATCGTCAGTTAGATGAGTCCTGATATGAGCTTAGTCCATTATTTGCCCAATCTAACTGTTGTCAAAGGCTTATGAAGATGTTTGAAGGTAAGAAAGGCATAGCCATAGTTGCAGCACTCACTGGAAATTTGCCAGAAGATGGAAGATGGAAGATGGAAGATGGAAGATGGAAGATGGAAGAATGAGAGCACCAATTATGATATTGATTACTGCCCAGGATGTTTCAATAGAAAAAATAGAGCAAGGTAAAAACAGAAGAAAAAAAAGGAAAATTTACATACATACCATATAATTATTATGGATTTACATATCTAACACCTTAGGTTTGATATTTACATATAGAACACTTTGGGGTTATAAACTTGTGCATAAAAAGGTGTAGTATTCCAGTTTATCAAGTTAGTGAATTGTATTTTCGATGTGATGTAAAGGATTTGAGTGTTATACATGTAAAAATAGAAGTTAGGATGTTAAATATGTAAATTTATCAAAATTGCCTGAAGAAAAGATGAACGAAAAAAAAGAGTGCAGCAAGCTCTTATATATCCCTTTCGCATCACTTATTACAGCTATTTAAGAAGTCGTAGACTCTTAGAAAAATAATTGGTCGATTATTTATTTTTTATGATCAAAAGAATTTCTTCAATATTTAATTTTGATCCTATCTTAGATGCTAGTACGGACCAATAAAGAGTTTAAGATTTTCCCTCCGTGGTTCTATGCTCAATCATTGGATTGACAACAGAGAGCTATTTGCATAGTATAAAGAAAAAATTAAGGTACTTCTTGTTGAGAAATTAGGGTGAAAAAAAAACAAGAATCGACATAAATCTAAAAGAATACACAGAGATTTAACGAAATTCGGCAAAGATCAAAGATGTCTACGTCCTCGGGGGGAGCAGAGCGGCGGATTCCTTTCAATTCCAGAAAAGAGTATATAATAGAATATTAGATCCTTCCTAGGGTTACAAACAATCATATATATAGCCCTGGAGTAAACCCTAAAATACAATATATAATTACAAAATTACCCACGTACCGTACTGCGAGGTTCACCCCCAACCCACATAACGAAACTCCCCCGATCGGACAGATTCTTTAGCTCAGCTCTGCTTCGTTCCAGCATCTGTCTCTTATATGATATGAGTCATATCATAACAAATCTCCATCTTGGCGAATATTCAGCCCCTTAGGAGAAATACATCATGGAATTTCTTACAGACTGAAGTGAGTTGGGCCACCATGCTTCTTTAACAACTGCAAACAATCAACAAGTCCAAGCAATGTGATACACCAAAATAATATACTGTTTTAAACACATTTAATATTTATTTTTGATGATATTAAACTTTGAAGAAATGTATTTTCATGTTTTTGTTGCAGGTATATCATCTTTAGGTATTTGGAGTAAAAAAGGCAAAAAAAGTACAAAATTTAGAACAAAAATAGTGAATTTTGGGATTCTGGCGCATAATGTGCCAATTCGACACATGATGCGCCATTTGACAGAAAACTGGCGCATGATGTGCCAGAGATGACTTTTTGCAAATTAAGGCGGTTTGAGACCAATTTTGCGCGAATTTTCAAAGGGGCACTTGTTCTACACATATGTCATAGCTTTGTCTATCATCATCTAACTTCACCTACAACTGTACTCCCCAACAGTTTGTAGATATTACCTGTAGTTAACTTTCATTTCATCACAGTCAGTACACCCTTAACAATTTTGATGATTTCCCTATTCTCATCTGCCTTAAGAATAAAATCATTCTATGTAAAGTGTCAATGGAAATCAATTTCTTCTTCAGATCTGGAATATGTCTGACATCACATAATGTTCTAATAGTGACATCATACAACTGAATTCTGAATTCACCAATACCAACAATATCGCAGCATCTATCATCACCTAAATAGACAGAGCAAAATTTAGTTGACCTGTATGAAGTAAGTCACTTCATATTAGGTGTTATGTGATAAGAGCATCACAAATCAAGAATTCATGCATCCCTAAACTGAGTTGATGAAACTGAAAGCATATCGTCATCACTGCAATCTGAATTATTACTTTGCACCACATTTACAGACTTCGATAATGCATCACCTTTCTCCCCAGTCTGTTTCTTAAGCTTTGAACAATCTCTCTTCATATGATCTAGCTCATTGCACTTGTAGCAATAAATTGTCTTTTTGTCATTGGACTTTGATTTGGAATTTCGCCTTTTAGAACTCTCATTCTCTTTCTTCCTTCCATGATCCTGCTTACCCTTAACATATAAATTGTCGTCATGAGAGTTTTCCCCTGCATTCTGCTTCTGCTGGTTGTGAGTCAACTATACTGTAGTAATCTCATCAACTTTGATAGTTTCTTTCTCATATGTCAGAGTAGTCACCAAGTGTTCATTTAAAAAAGGTAATGAATACAACAAAATCATTGCTCAGTCTTCATCCTCAATACTCACATCAAGCCGTGATAAATCCGTGATCATTTGATTGAAGTCATTAACATGTTGCGTCAGATCAGAACCTTCTTGCATTTTCAGCCCATACAGCTTTTGCTTCAAATACATTTTAATCGTCAGAAATTTAGACATAAACTGAGTTTTCAATTTGTTTCATAAATCCCCTAAATATTTCAGATTTATCACGTGATACATAACTTCATCTGTCAGACATAAATGTATAGTTGTTTCAGTTTGTTGTTGCAATTCTTCACAATCTTCATCCTCCATGGCATCTGGTTCCATTGCCCACAAAGCCTTTAAGATTCTTTGTTGCGCCAACAGATCTTTTACACTTGTTTGTCACAATCTGAAGTTACCAATTCTATTGAACTTCACCACCTCGAATTTTGCACCATAAATTACCATTTAAAATTGATCCTGCAACAAACTTTTCTACAAATTCTTCTGCTAAACTTTTGAAAATTACTGAAATCAGAAATTACTGATCGAGAGCTATTCCCTGATTCCTTCCAATTTTCTTCTTCTCCGCGGGCTAGGAAAAAATTTGTTTCCTTCCTTTCACCTCCGCAGTCGCCTCCAGCAAGGAAATCGAAGGAATTCACCTCCACAGCCGCCTCCAGCAAAGAAATCCGAAGATCCCTTCCAATTCCTCCTCTCACTCTGCTTGTTCCTTCGCCTGCAAAATTCTTCTGCGCGAGTTGCGATGCTTCTCAGATCAGTGTGAAAACCCTTTGCGTCAAGCCTGGTCCCGAACTCCTCTGCGAAAACTGTGCCGAAATCTTTCGCGGTAACTAGCGAACCTCCTTCGCTGAAAGCCACGATTCTGAAAAACAAAGCCCTGGCCGAACTTTGCCGAAGCCAAATTGTCGAATCCTCCTCTGCCTTTCCTCTGCTCAAACTGTCCGAAGCCCGAAGTCCCCTTCGTGGTTCCACCGATCACGGAAGAACGAAAACCGCACCTTCGTCTTCCTTCGAATAATATCTTCTTTGTTCTTCTCTGCCCTTAAATTTATCTCAGAAATTATGGCGAAAAAAAAAACAAGAATCGACACAAATCGACACAAATCAAGAAAACACAAATCAAGAAAAACACACAGAGATTTAACAAGGTTCGACAAAGATGCCTACGTCCTCGGGAGCAGAGCGGAGGATTCCTTTCAATTCTAGAAAAGAGTACATAATAGAATATTAGATCCCCCCTAGGGTTACAAACAAACATATATATAGCCCTGGAGTAAACCCTGAAGTACAATATGTAATTACAAAATTACCCATATACCGTACCGCGGGGCGTTGCCCCCGAACGCCCAACCCATAGAATGAATCTCCCCCGATTGGACAAATTCTTTCGCTCCGCTCCGCTTCGTTCCAGCATATGTCCCTTATATGGTATATGAGTCATACCGTAACACTTCTACTAGGAGATTTTGAAAGCTCATGATAAAATCTTCCTACTGAAAATGAATATAAACAATAGAAGCCAAATTATGCGAACGTGATTGCCTTAAGTCTGCAATTAGACAGCGTTTTCATTAAAAACAATTAGTACAGTTCAGAGCAGAATTTTCACAATAGCACGGATATCTTATTCAGAAAGTATTAAAAAGCATAGGTTTTTCTTGTCTTCCTGGAAAATAGATTAAATTCTCTCCTCTAATCGCTAAGAAAAAAGACGAATTAAATAGAGTAAATATACAGGAATTTTGTGGTATGTGTGTAAATTTCCCTTAAATTTATATAAAAGCACCGCTAAGCTTTCTCAATTGATAAGGAAACTTCAAATTAATTAATCATACCTGTGTAAACAGTACTTGTACTCGTGGCTGCGGTTGTCATCTCTCTCCCCTTCCTCCAGCTATACACGAAAAATCAATCAAAAAAAGTACCACAAAAGCCAAGAAACATAATACAAAACAAAATTATACACCACTCTGAAATGAAAACATACGGGATCGCTTTCGTAGATCAGCTGATAACATGCCGAAGAAAGGCATCGTAGCGCACAGTTTTCCTTCTCAGTAACCGAAGTTCTGCATTTCCAACCCCATAGCCCACTTTCCGAAAACCAATCCCCAAAACAAATAACATCGAATCAGCTACGAACAATTCACAAAATCAAATCGATTGCGAAAAATACAAAGGAGGGGGCTCATTGGGCTGCTACCTTTCGATATCAACGTAGCAGGCGTTCTTCCTGTTCCTGATCTCATCTTCCTGCGTTAGATGCGATAAAGGACGTTAAAGAAGAGGATGTAAGAATCAATACTAAGAGGAGAGGAGAGGTGAACCAACGGAGATAGCGCGACGAGAAGCAGAAAGAGCTGATGGATTGAAAGAGGAGATTAATAACAATAGTAGGAAAAAGTTGATCAAGGAGCAAATAGGTGTTGGAAGAAGGTGAGAACGCATCTCCACCGATTTCCAGTTCGGCGGCTGAAAATATCTGGTTTCGTCAGGAACTGCTAACACTGTTTCAGCACTTCGCACTGCTCTATTTACTTTAATTTAATTAATGCTTGGGTGAATTATTTATAATTTGCTGATAAATAGATTATTTTAATAATCTGATAATCTGATAATCTGCAGATTATCAGAATAATTTGATTTGCTGTTTGGGGCAGCTTATTCAGACTAGTTTATTGGTAGTTAAATGATATTAATGCCCTCGTCTCATAAAACTGTTTGGGTTAGCTTATTCAGAATAACTTATTGATAAAAAAGAAACATATAGTGCAGAAACATACGGTAATGACAGAAATATTTTAAAAGATATCATACAGTTCTCACATCCTAACGAGTACCAGTAGAACTAAAAAAAGTACAAATACAAGTAAAACAAGGAGAAATATTAAAATATTTAACTTAAGACTCTGGCTACGTCGGTTTTCAGTCAGCCTGCGAAAACATCGAATTCACATGACTGCTGGCATGACTGCTAGCAGTGTAATATGTGGGACTATCAGCCCACCGGAAGAAACTACAACGAGCTGAAACACCTCTGACACAACCATAGAACTGCCTCCCAAAGCTATGCTCCTTACGTAACGTTAGCAACGAAGACGGTAGTCCACAATAACACAAAATCCCTCTATCCGTACCTGATATCCTGGAAGTCATGTTTGTTTAACTGCGAAAATAACAAAGTAACCAAAATTAAATACATATGAATATCAACCTATAACCTTATTATTTTTCAAAATTGGTAGATCAACAGCCACAAATAACATCTGTGATAGACTCCCTTAAAGCAATCACATCAGCAAAACCTTCACTTTCCTGATCTCCAAATTCATTAGAGTCTACATCATCCTCAGGTAATGAACTCCCACCCACAATTCCAGGAGTTTGGTCGAAGACATCCAGTTCATTCCGTCATTGTCAGTCATACTAAAGTCTGTATCTGATATTGAGGAATGTCTTCGGATGAAGTTATGTAGTGTCATTGTTGCAACCACAATATGCACCTGCTTTTGAAAAGGATACGACAACATATCACGTAGGATGACCCATTTCTTCTTCCAAACCCCAAATGTTCTTTCAATTACCCCGCGTAAAGATGAGTGGTATTTATTAAACATTTTCTTTCTGCCATGGACGGTGTCACTCACTCTCTCAAAATCAAAAAGATGATATCTTGTGTCAGGATAGGGCTTTAGATATCCTCTTTGCATAGGATACCCGGCATCAACCAGATAGTACAACTAATACATAAAACCTTAACTGCGGGTAATGGATATTTATATGAGGCATTTTTTAAATCAATTTTCGAGTGAATTTGAAACACCTACTTTCGCAGCTAATTCAATATTGAAAATGAATATCCATAAATTTTTTCAGCTACCATTGTAATCAATACTGTACAATTTTTGAAATAAAATACTGAACGTATGAAACATCTTTCAGCAACCATTGCAATCAAAACTGTATTTCGCTCGGAATATCTAGGAACAGAATCAATTATGTTGCAATTCGAAAAAATCATAACCAAAACTTTCCAGAAATTCGAAAAAATCAATAGAGTAACGGATACAATTATGCTGCAAAACCATAAACCAAGAACTGTAGCAAACATTCGAGAATTCAATTTCGTCTCTACAGAACAATAGACTATTGAAAAGGAATTCTTAGAAATTATTACAAACTCAACTGTAAATTTTAATCAAGCTCCAAAAACATAATCCCAACGAAAGACATACAGGTATTTATATGGAAACCATAAATCTGTAGCAGGAAAACACCAACTTTTTCTCTATTTGTAAAAATCTGAGAATATCAAAGAGGGGAAGAAGGAAACAGTGATGCGAAGGGAGATGCGAGCATGAGAGTAAGAAAAAGTTCCCTCTATTTGCAATCTGTTGAAATCTAATGAATACCATATATCTCTTCTCACAGAAATGCAAAAATTTCTCTCTATCGTAGAAATGCCATATATCTCTTTTCAAATAAAAGCAAAAAATGTGCAAAGATACCTCATTTGAGGCGAGAAGGAGCAGATGGAAGATCAGGGAGGCCCTAGAGCGAGGATTTTCGTTACCTCGATGTCGATCTCCGCGAGAGAAGTTGCAGAAGGAGGAAGGAAGAACGGGAGGGCGAGAGTAGAAGGGGAGAGCGAGCGAGGGGCACAGGAGGAAAATATTACCCTAATGCGATACTCATGCTCGGGACGCAGGGACCCCTCCGCTTCGCTCGCCCTTAAGGAATTCGGGATCGGCGTTAGGGTGCGGGAGAGAAACGCTCGCTCAACGCAATATTCACACTGTGGCGGCATTTTCAAAACGCCGTCGCAGGTCAATAAGCTGCCCTAAACGGGCCCTTAGTCGGCGTTCCCAAATGTATTATGCAGTATTATCTTAGTTTATGGACTAGAACGCTGAATCGTTGAGATTAATTACAAAGGCTTGCTTTTTACATGTTGCCATCACACTAGCATAACATATCAATCACTATAAATGCATCATATTATCTCAAAAATATCAATTGTGTTTATTTTAAATATTTTTATTTCAAATAACATAGAATGTGTCACACCCCGAGTCTAAAAGTTGTTATACCATTATAACACATGATGTGATGAAATAATACGAACATGTTTTGTATTCTAAAAGAAAATAATATATATAAATAATAGCTAAAATAAACAAGAAAATATAACTTTTATTCTATTTCATAAATAAGAATCCAACAAGTTATATAATTGACCTAAAAATAAGAAACTAATCAAAAAAGAGACTGAAAGACAATAGATAAACATCTACCTAATCCCAAAAGAAAAAAATAAATATAATAATTAATACAAAAATTAAAATACCATGAGTAAAACTAATGCTATAATGCTTGCTCTTGTGGAGAAGATCCTTCGAGTGGTTGGGTAGAACACGCTATATAACAATATCAACAAGTGACTTTGATAAATTAAAATGAATAAATAAAACTATTTATTAAGGGGATGTTAGGTTTGCTAAAAAAAAATAATTCAGCGTAAAATGAATGCAATGCAAAGTAATGCATTGTATTTAGAATACTTTGGAGTTGCTTGGTTCAACATAAAATAAATTAAATGCAAAGTTTCATATTTTTGTTAGTTAATTTAAACTGGAAATAAAAAAAAATTATACTTCAAAGTATGTGGGGTATGAAAAAAATTATTAGTGGCCAAGGACAGAAGTGGGTGGTGGCCAAAAAGAACGGCTCGTAGATGTTAAGTAGATAATGACAACAAATAATGATCGAAAGAAATGGTTGACGATAGCTGAAGGTGGTAGGCCATGGTGAAAAGTGGTTGTGTCGATGGCAAGTGTTGGTAGCAATCTAGGGATTTCTAAATGCACCAAAAATTGTGTATTTGGAATTCGTCACAATCTAGCGATTTCTAAATGCACCAAAATGAATTAAGGAATGAATTCTAATTATATTCCCATTTTACACTTCAATTGAAATTCTTTAGATTAAATTCTCGTTTTTTAAAAACAACCCATTATGTATATATATATATATATACACACACACAATGAGTAGTATTTTTTAAAAAAATTAATTGACTACAACGCTACAAAGATTTAAAAATAATTAAAAGTATTAATTAAGAAAATAGAATAAAAATTATTAAATTAGATTCAAATGATGTTAAAGGAATGATCAGAGAGGATTTGAGGCCATTATACGAGTATCCGACCACTTCTAATGTATTTAACAATTCGAGTACCACTTCCTTAAGGCCAAATGTGTCAGAGAGGATTTGAACCTCTGACTTGAGGGGTCTTACACAGAGGATGTCAGCCAACAGGCCAAGATACGCGACACACATACACACACACAGATATATATATATG